GTTTAGTTTATAAATCCTATGTGCAACCGTTTTATCGTTGACCGAGGTTCTAAGTTGAAAGGAATACCAATGTGGAAATCTGTTAAAGCTTGGGATCTGTAATGACAGTATTATCGTCATTATTGCTTGATCTATTCGCGGGCAAATGGCGCTGTACGTAACCTCCTTGATAGTTTGAAAAGAAAATCAACGTAAATTAATATAGTTCAAAAATACTGAAAAACACGCTTTTGAAGAACATCGAACTAAAAAGGTGAAAATAAATATAGTTTGGAAATACTAAAAAACATTGAATCTGGAGATTGTTGATGACAGATAGTTTTTACAAAATGGAATTTTCGAAAATACGTTCCTTTTAGAATTTGGAGGTCAGGTTAGCTGTTGAGGATAGATACTATTTTAAAAATTCTATAGTTAGGTTAGGTTAGGTTAGGTTAGGTTAGGCTGAGTTAGGTTAGGTTGGGTTACACTTTTCCCAAACTATCGATATCAATACACCGTATTGTATCGATAGTTTGGGAAAATTTATCGATTATCATACACCGTATGATAATCAATAAATTGTTTTACTGTTTTCAGCTTTTACCCAAGTAAAAATTGGTAATAAAATCACTGACAAACCTAAATGCATTTCGATTATACCTTTATATATGTTTTCTGACAGAAAACAACTATTTCTCAGGTAATAACTCGACATATATTGAAAAATGTACAATTGATATTGGAAACTATATAAGTGTAGACGTCTAATCAATTCCGAAAAGTTGCTGCGCTTATTAAAAACAGTTATTCTGAATGAAACATGTCATATTAGTCAGCAACTTCTTATATAATGTAAATTTGACCTTACGACTATTAACGTTTTGGAATCCAAGTCTCCTCAGACATAAGTGCAAAGACTCTCACTTTGGAGAAACAACTTTGCAAGAGCTCTCAAGGACAAATAGTGGGACTTCGCCTGATTCGAACAAGGGACTAACTTGCGAACCGTTTTGAATTGTTCCCCATCAGTGCAGACCATGCTATCACGGTTGTATACACACAGGGACTCAGTATTCCTCCTAGAGAGCTCTTGCAGAGTTGTTCCTTTAAAGAAAGGATCTTTGCACATATGTCCGAGATAAAATTCAACATCTGTTAGGATAGTCGCCCGCGAAGTAGTTGTTTTGTCAGACACATGCCATACAATGTATATGTTACGGTAAAAGTACATAATTCGGTAAATTACCGGTAATTGTATACATTTACCGGAGTCTTTGGTAAAAGTAGGAAATAATCTTAAAAAACCTTCTATTTCCTGCTTTTACCGGTAATTGTATACAATCGCCAGAGGAGCTTGGTGAAAGTAAGAAATTCACATTTCAACGATAGACACGCAAGCGCAGTGTTACCACGCAGTTGTTTACCACGTGCATGTATGTCGTCTCAGTCGCTTGCTATTTCTTGGAAAGTGTTCGTATCCTTTTAGCGAGTTATCTTTGTGTTTTGTTTTCCTACGTTTTTCGTTTTGTGAACTGTAAATTACATTATTCTGGATCTGATTATTTGTAATTTAACAATGGAAGAGCGTTTTAATACNATCATTCATTTCTCTAGATATGGTTCCAAATCTTCACATTTCATTGCGCGAGTATGTTAAAAAAACTTCATTGTCGGGTGGGCAAGGCTATCAGAGATGTGTTTGCAAAACTAAGTGTAAAACAGACAAGTGTAAATGTAAAAAGAATGGAAAGCTGTGTAATTCCAAGTGCCATGAGAGTTTGTCATGTCATACAAAATTTGCCTCTTGTTATTAATTTAGGCAAAAAACCTCTTGTTTTTAATTTAGGTTGAAAAATATCGTAAAAAAGCCTCTTGTTTTTAATTCAGGTTCGAAAAAATAAATAAAATTGAATTACTTGAAAAACTATTTGATTTTATTGTTTTTATTTCTTATTTTCATTTCATTTTCTTACTTTTACCGCTGAACCTTGGTTATTGTCTACAATTGCCGGTAAAAGTAGATAATTGAGAATAATTTCGTACATTTACCAGTGACTTTGGTGATTTTATCCAATTACCGGTGATTGTATACAATCACTAATTATGTACTTTTACCGTAACATACATAATAATAAAGTTTTGTCCAGTGCTGTCAATTTGCGAGTACAGTAGAATCTCACTAATCCGGCACTATTAAAAACAAGAGGGTGCCGGATTATTGGAATGTTCGGATTACTGGATTATAGAGAAAAAATTATAATTAGTAAAATAGTGTCTTGTGTTTCCGCTCACCTGACATTTTTAACTACACACTATTCTAACTTCGAAACCACAGGTCAATACGTATGCACGTGCACGTGATATGTTTTGAGGTTAGATTGCTAGACGACGACGCGGCGACGAAGTGCATAGGGGTAGAGAGGCGCGGTCGGAGGGCGCCGGATTATTGGATGTATCGGTCTATTGAAGTGCCTGATTAGTGAGATTCTACTGTATTTTCATCGACTTGCAGTAATAGTATTTGTGGAGGAATCGCTGATATTTAGTTTTTGAAATACACAAAACCCTCAATCAGAGTGAAGTAGTCGTTTATTGTCATGATTTGTTGAATTGTTCTACTGAAAAAAATATGCCAGGAATTGATTTCACAAGGTGTTATCAACGTTAGACGTTGACATACAGTATGATCCACTAAGTGTGCAACAAATGGGAAACTTTTTTATTATCGATTTCTCAGAAAATTTTATTCTTGACAAAAGTTGGTCGGAATCAAACAATTTCCTCGATAGAACCTCGAATACTCCATCGGCAGATTCTAGAGGAGTCTGTATGGACGTCAAAATACCAAAGGCTTCTATGCCCATCTTATCAAAAAGGCAGGCTATTTTCAAAAACATATTTGGTGAAGATTAAGATGAGGAAAATGGTCCAGATGAATTTGCGAAACGTTGTGTTGATGTGAGTAAGTCAGTAGTGTCCAAAGATGTTTCTGTAGACGTCACCGAGCCAAAAATGATACCAAAGATTTCTTTTCCCAAAGCGGCATTGACCTCAATTTGTACTCAGGATAATTTGCACAATAATGAGTTGAACTTTCCGGAAGCATCTGAAGTTAAAACGGAAATGAAAATCATCATTTCCGTTACTTGATTTTACCGCGAAAAAGACTTTCCCCCATAGAATAACGGCAATAACAAAATCCAGTCAAGATGTATATAAAAGTTCTCATTCAAGGACTAATCCCACTAACTACGCAAAAAAAGGTAGATGAAAAAACTATCACTGGTTCATCAACATCGGTATTGCAGTGCCAAGTACCATAGGATGTTATAACTGAGAAGCGAAATAAAAGAATTTCGAACGTGAAATCCAGCCAGAACAGAACTATTAGCTTGGCAAATCATGATTCAAGTTCTACGCAAAAACCGAAACAGAAAACAAGAATTGAGGAAGGTAAATTAAGATCTACAGAGCCGAAGCTAGATGAGAAGAAGAAACTTGATACCTCAGCAAATTATTGTTCGAAGTCAAGCCGAATGAAAAAAGTTGAGGAAGGTGCGACAGGATACAACACATACGTGGTAGAATTATTTTCAGTATTTTATTTGCTTGACAACGACATTTTGATTCAACTAAATCTTAACGGAATATAGAAAAAAAAAAGCATTTTAAAAGCGAATTAATCTGATATCAAGAGAGGCCACTTACAAGATATAAAATCGGAGGAGATGCTAAGAAAACTCCGCATCCAGGCAAAAAACGCTTTGAAACGACATGAAGACGCCATGGTCGACATGTTTTTGAAATTCAGATTTGCTCTAGTAGGAGAGCAATACCATGGTCAACCTATTATATGCCCTACTCATGGGATTTGAATGGACGCAATTGAAAATTCCATAGAGCCACCTAACTGTATAAACTAGAATGTGGATGGTAGTAACACACATAATACTACTGAACAATACAAACAAGGAGATGATATTAAAAGTACCTCGGTTCTTGGTCGTAAAAATAACTGATAGATACTTTACAAAAGGCAACCCATTTCTGATATCTGAAGGAATGTATGGTTCAATTGGAGAACTATCAAACCTAAAGATAACAAGAAAAGTATTGATTCTTGAAACGAAATAACCAGCCCAATCGAGATGATTGATAGAAATTGAAAGAATATGTAATATGTCAGTGGAGGTCGAAATACATAAAACCCTATACCAAGTGTAGGTACCTGAAATGGCTTTATGACAAACACCATACGGGATAGGCCAAAAAATATAAAGTTCGTTCAAAGAGTAAAGTACCCTTATTTCAAAAAATATAGAAATTTGTTGAAGAGAAAAGTTGCTTAGAATTGAAAGTTATGTTTAGATGCGTAGGCATGGCCTGCTATTCGAATTTTATTTTCTTTTGGAAAATGTTGAATTACCCCCGTATCGGCAGATTCTAGAGGAGTATGTATGGACGTCAAAATACCAGAGACTTCTATACCCATCTCATCAAAAAGACAGGCTATTTTCAAAAACATATTTGGTGAAGATTCAGATGAGGATAATGGTCCAGACGAATTCACGAAACGTAGTGTTGATGTGCGTGAATCAATAGTGTCCAAAGATATTTCTGTAGAGGTCATCAAGCCAAAAAAGAAATCAAAAGACGCTTCTTTACCCGTCACATCAAGAATGCAGGGCTATTTTCAAAAAGTTGTTTGGTGAAGGTTCAGATAAGGAGAATGGTCCAGATGAATTTGCGAAACGTTGTGTTGATGTGAGTAAATCATTAGTACCCAAAGATGTTTCTGTAGACGTCACCGAGCCAAAAATGATACCAGACTTCTTTTCCCAAAGCGACCTTGAGCTCAATTTGTACCCAGGACACAGCAAATGATAATTTGCACAATAATGAGTTGAACTTGCCGGAAGCATCTGAAGTTAAAACGGAAATGAAAATCAATGACTTTATTTTACCGCGAAAAAGAACTTCCCCCCATAGGATAACGGCAATAACACAATCCAGTCAAGATGTATATTAAAAAAAATCATTCAAGGACTAATCCCACTAACTATGCAAAAAAGTTAGGTGAAAAGGCTATCACTGGTTCATCAACATCGGTAGTGCAGTGCCAAGTACCACAGGATGTTATAACTGAGAAGCGAAATAAAAGAATTTCGAACGTAAAATCTAGCCATAATCTCATTTTGGATAACGTCAGGGAACAGGCGAGTAACATGAAGATGAGGATCCAATTCGAAAAAGGGATGGGAGGGACAAAACGAAGAAGGTCTGGTTATCCTTCTTCAGGGTCTAAAAAGGGTCATATACAGTCTGAATCGAAACTGAGAGTGAAGGACGACGCTGCCACATCATCACATAATCAATCTACTTCCAAGGAAAAACTGGGACAGATACGAGAAGTAAATGAAATTAGAACGGAATCTAGAAATCGACTACAGAAAGTGAATGACCAAGCTATTACAGTGGAGAATGATAATTCGGGTTGCACGGCAAAATCAAGACACAGACGAAAGTTTGAAGCAGGGAAAACAGGATCTACGGAACCAAATTCAAAAGTGAGGGACCAATTTATCACCTTGGCTAACGATTCGAATTTCAAGAAAGTATCAGGACAGAAGAGGAAATTTGAGGAAGATAAATCGGGATTCACAGAACTGAATATGGATGTGAAGAACAGAACTGTCAGATTGGCAAATCGTGATTCAAGTTTTATGCAAAAACCGAGACAGGAAGCAAAAATTGAAGGTAAATTGAGGTCTACAGAGTCGAAGCTAGCTGGGAAGAAGGAAGTAACCACTAATTATGGTTCTACGTCAAGGCTAATGGAAAAAGTTGAGGAAGGTGCGACAGGATCCAACACATACGTGGTAGAATTGTTTTCAGTATTTCATTTGCTTGACAACGACATTTTGATTCAACTAAGTCTTGAATGTATGATATTCAGCTTTCAGTATAAAATACAGTATATGCAATTTTTTTGAGTCGTGTCATTGAAATGAAGGATTTTATCAACTGAAATGAAGAGACTTGCAAGTTATACGAGGTTTACATGGGATCAAATAGACACCTCGTATAAAAGAACATATGAAGAAAGGTATATATTCCAAGGTGGAGGTGAAGAAATCATCGATTCGCAAAGACACTGCAACCCTTCATAACATACCTAGTAGAACTCAGTCTAAGTCCAAACCTTCTGCCTGGGCCAAGAGTAAGCAGTCTGACAACTTATCAACAATGTGCAATTTGGCAGAAAATGTGATGGTATTGCCGGAGTCGTCAAAACCCCACGATGTATTGGAGGACGTCACAATTTTGAGTACCACAGCGTACGTCACAAAAAAACGAATTTCGAAAGTGACATCTGATAACAGTTTCATCATAGATAACAACAAGAAACAGGTCCTCGGCAAGAAAATCAGAATTTCATCTCAAGCAAATTGTGAGGGTGATGGAGAACCTCATACAAGGCATTGTACAGTCGAGGATTTGTTTGGAGATATGTCGGACGAGGAAGAGGAATTGTCCGAGGATATTTCGCAAATATGTTCAGATATTGGCGTGACAGTAGACACAGAAGTTTCCAATGAATCGGAATCAAACAATTTCCTCGATAGTACAGCGAATCCTTCATCGTCAGATTCTAGAGGAGTATGTGTGAACGTCAAAATACCAGACGAAAAGGAATTGTCAGAGGATCTTTTGCAAATATGTTCAGAAATTGGCGTGACAGTTGACACAGATGTTTCCAATGGATTGGAATCAAACAATTTCCTTGATATAACCTCGAATACTCCATCGGCAGATTCTAGAGGAGTATGTATGGACGTCAAAATACCAGAGGCTTCTATACCCATCTTATCAAAAAGACAGGCTATTTTCAGAAACATATTTGGTGAAGTTTCAGATGAGGATAATGGTCCAGACGAATTTACGAAACGTAGTGTTGGTGTGCGTGAATCAATAGTGTCCAAAGATATTTCTGTAGAGGTCATCAACCCAGAAAAGGAAGCAAAAGTCGCTTCTTTACCCGTCACATCAAGAATGCAGGCTATTTTTAATAAGTTGTTTGGTGAAGATTCAGATGAGGGAAATGGTCCAGATGAATTTGCGAAACGTTGTGTTGATGTGAGTAAGTCAGTAGTGCCCAAAGATGTTTCTGTAGACGTCACCGAGCCAAAAATGATACCAAAGACTTCTCTTCCCAAAGCGACCTTGAGCTCAATTTTTACTCAGGAGACAGCGAGTGATAATTTGCACAATAACGAGTTGAACTTGCCGGAAGCATCTGAAGTTAAAACGAAAAAGAAATTCAATGACTTGATTTTACCGCGAAAAAGATCTTTCCCCCTTAGAATAACGGCAGTAACACAATCCAGTCAAGATGTATTTAAACGAAATCATTCCAGGACTAATCCCACTAACTATGCAAAAAAGTTAGATGAAAAGGCTATCACTGCTTCATCAACATCGGTAGTGCTGTGCCAAGCACCACAGGATGTTATAACTGAGAATCGAAGTAAAAGAATTTCGAACGTAAAATCTACCCATAATCTCATTTTGGATAATGTCAGGGAACAGGCGAGTAACATGAAGCTGAGGATCCAAGTCGAAAAAGAGATGGGAGAGACAAAACGAAGAAGGTCTGGTTATCCTTCTTCAGGGTCTAAAAAGGGTCATATACAGTCTGAATCGAAACTGGGAGTGAAGGACGACGCTGCCACATCATCACATAATCAATCTACTTCCAAGGAAAAACTGGGACAGATACGAGAAGTAAATGAAATTAGAACGGAATCTAGAAATCGACTACAGAAAGTGAATGACCAAGCTATTACAGTGGAGAATGATAATTCGGGTTGCACGGCAAAATCAAGGCATAGACGAAAGTATAAAGCAGGGAAAACAGGATCTACGGAACCAAATTCAAAAGTGAGGGACCACCTTGTCACCTTGGCTAACGATTCGAATTTCAAGAAACCATCAGGACAGAAGAGGAAATTTGAGGAAGATAAATCGGGATTCACGGAACAGAATTTGGATGTGAAGAACAGAACTATTAGTTTGGCAAGTCATGATTCAAGTTCAATGCAAAAACCGAGACAGGAAACAAGAATTGAGGAAGGTAAATTGAGATCTACAGAGCCGAAGCTAGATGAGAAGAAGAAACTTGCCATCTTAGCAAATCATGGTTCGAAATCAAGCCGAATGAAAAAAGTTGAGGAAGGTGCGACAGGATCCGAGAAAGCATGTTCTAACTCTGATGTGGTCGGGCAGTTACACAGAGGAATAACCAATGGCAGGGAGGTTGCGATTCCCCATCTGAATTATGTCAATATGGGTGCTGGAGATGGCCAACCGAAGAAACGCACTAAATTAGAACAAGTTACTCACGACAATTCTGAATATCTCAGAGGAATACCACAATGGGCAGCAAGATTGGTGGATATGGGATTATTGGAGCCGCTAACAGCCTCGTCCCCAGTATTTTTGCCACCAAAAAAAATAAGGATGGGAAATAGTTAAGAGAGTCAGGAATTCATGTGGTCAATGAGACTGTTTCGAATCTCAGAGAGATGGAAAATTTGCAACTGATGCACTTTATAAAACGAAGAGACAAATCAATTTTATTGTGTTTTTTGATTGACAAAGTGATTACCTCAATGAACAAATAATGGATGCAAAGAATTGTTACATTATTCATAGTCTGTATAGAATTATTGTAGGTCGATGAACATTTCAGTATATTATGTTTGTTTCAATATAGTTGACAATGACATTTTATTTTCTCGTAATAGTTATTTCTTATAATACGTATACGTAGACAGAATATGTGTACGTATGGATAACATTCACTTGTGCCTTGTACCAAATCTTGTGCTCTTCAGAATACATCTGCGAATTGATCTATGAGGTTCCTGAATTCTTCTGTCCCTTCTTCGGCATCTGCTCAAGAGATACTTCGGGGATGGATTACTCTTCTGGCGGTAGACACTCAGCCTTCGCCCAGAAGATAGTTTGCCTTGGCTTGGGTTCACTGGTTGTCTTTCTATCTTCTGCTTCTTCGACAACGTGGATTTCGTCCATCTGAAGTTGCCTCTTTTTCCCCATCTCCGGTGGACGTTTAACGTCCACCGGCGGTTTAGGCACAAGTCCTCCTGGTTTGCCCTGCCTCTATCTTTCCGTTCGTTACTGTTAGCCGTCTCGATCTCTAACCCTATCCCCAACTCTTGGGATTCCTGGGTTTCCCTAGCGTCGAATCAGTGTGGCCATTGACCTTCCAGACCTAAGTCCTCTTGACTTAGTCAGTAGGCTATACCCAGGTTTGCAAGAACATCGAATTGTTCAACTGACTTTGAATAGGATGTGTGCTGAAGTAAAAGTATACTAGCAGTTGCATAATTTTACAAGCATAAAGGAACACACCCAGAAGTCAGTGGCTGTAGAGTCACTGCTTAAAGACACTAGCAATAATAATAATAATGGCACACAACGTCGTAACCACCACGAGGACAGAGAGCTTCGCCGTGACAACGCAAGAAGTTATGACAAAGGGGGTCAAAGACATGACCCGCCAAAATTCTACCACCACGAGGACAGAGGGTCTCGTCGTGGCAGCGAGGGACATTGGAACAAAGGGAGTCAAAGAGAGGACCTGTCTCAGCCAATGCGTTAACAGCTGGAGCCAATAGAGTCAAGAGTAGACCAGTACCTCCACCAAAGGAAAAACCTCAGTGATCCTTTTGTAGTTACTGAAACACGAAACGCACCTTATAAAAAAATTAACATTGACATCTTACAAATAACCATATCTTGACTATCAGAAACGAACTCACAAGGTTTACTCAAGCTTATCCTTTGGAAAAGAAATTCGCGAAATCAGTCATCCACACCCTGATCATATATTTTGACCACTACAGAAATTATTGTGATTCAGGCAGATAATTTAACAACATTCTTGTGGAAGACACATGTCAACTGTTGGATATGAAACTAACCTTTTCAAGTACTGACATCCCCAATCAAACGGATCTTCAAAACGATATCATGCTACACTGAGATAAATGATCAGAGCATATCTAACAGAAACCCCCGAAGGACATCCATTAGCTATATTGCCTTATGCAATAATATATTACAATGATTCGACAAACAAAACGCATGGTTTCACATCATACGACCTTGTCATCGGGTAGACCCCCCGAACAAACATATAACTAAGAACAAATATATAAGAGATTTAAATAACCATAAATCAAATTTTAATGAACTTGCTCGAGAATGAACTATTAAAAGTAAAAAAAGGTCAAAACAACGATTTGACGAAAAACTAAATCAAACACCTTATTGTTATTTAGTTAGTTATAGTTAACAGACAAAAGTTATTTTCTTTATCCTATATTGAATATGAATTTCTACAAAATAAATAGATCATCAATCGAACAAACTACTCAGCTTACTACACAGGTACCTGTTAATATTTTGCCTGTCTGAATGTCAGCAAATTGTTCTTAGTAGACATTGCTCTCGTCATTTTATAGGAGGACAGTAATTCTTGCAGGTCGGGTCTGCCAGACATGAATCTCAACCAGAAAAAATTTGGAACCCCCAGCCAAAAATTTCACAATTCTCAAAAAATTGGAAATATATTTTGCAGGTCGGAGGAAATTCTTGCAGGTCGGGCCTGCCAGACATGAATCTCAACCAGGTTAATCATTTTCGACAGAAAAAAATTCAACCCCCACCTTTTTAGTATGGAAAAATTCCACATTCCTCATTAAATTGAAAATAAATTTGCAGGTCGGGTCTGCCAGACATGAATCACGACCAAGTTAATAATTTTCGATAGAAAATTAACCTTGCAGGTCGGCAGGAAGTATTTATGTCATTCTACAAGATTACGAGAGCAAGTCTACTGACTCGCAGACTTGCAAAATAGTTATGTGCATAGCTATGTGCATCACAGTTTGTCTTACAACTGTGTGTTGTAAGATACACTTGCGTGAAGTTAGCGTCGGACGCCAGCGTCCAAATCTAGCGCCCGCCCCCCACTCCTGAGTCCGATTTACACCACACAACTAGTAGAATGTTGATTCATAAAGATCGCTTATTTGGCAACCAATATTTTCAACATGATTATTTGCTCTTAGAATCGACTTCAAACTTGAAAATATCATTATACTGATTTCCATTTCTCTTTTCATCATGATCTACCACGCGTAGTAACGGCTACATCCATCAATTTATCTGCATGCAGCTTTTATAATCTGTATTATAATGACGAGGAGACATTGAAGTGAATGTGACAGATATAAAACACTTTTGGGTCACAATTGGTGGAATTCATGACCAAGTGAAAAATTCATCAGGAGAATGATTCATTGAATAGGCAATTTTCAGAAAATTATCGGTGTCATAGAAAAATGAAAGCCCATCACTTGATTGGAATAGTTCGCTTCCCAAACTGTGAATTGTCATCAATTATGTCCGAGTGAAAACTTATCAGAGAGATGATATACTGAACACTGGATTTTCAGTCCATCAAAATAGTGGGGTCATAAAAAAAATACCCCTTCCACATTAGATGTTTAATTTTTTCCTTCTTAAACTGGCTTGTGTCCCTGAATGAAAAATGTTGATGAAAAGATGACATACTTGACTCTGAATTTTCAGCCGTCCAAATTACCGGGAATATAGAAAAAAACCACCCCTTCCACATTAGATGTTTAATTTTTTCCTTCTTTAGCTGGCTTGTGTCCCCAAATACGACTGAATGGAAAATGTTAATGAAGAGAAGACGTAATGAACTCAGAATGTTCAGCCCTCCAAAATACCGGGAACATAAAAAACCACCCCTTCCACATTAGATTTTTAATTTTTTCCCTCTTAAACTGGCTCCTGTCCCTGAATACGACTAACTGGAAAACGTTAATGAAGAGATGACCTACTGAACTCTGAATTTTCAGCCCTCCAAAATACCGGGTACCAACAAAAAATCTTCCTGTCTAGAATTAAGTAATATAAGAATTGTATTATATTTAAGGAAATAACTGGCAACAGCGCTCATCCTGGTTACTTGGGCGTCTTGGCCCTACCCCACTCTTGATAAGCTGTTTAACGAGATAACACCGTTAAAATATCATACAATTCACTATATTCAGTAATAAAGAAAATGATTCAACGAAGTGTATCACCTTTAATTTCCAACACCTCCCCTTCCACATTAGATGTATAATTTTTTCCTTCTCAAACGGGCTTTTGTCCCCGAATACGACTAACTGAAAAATGTTGATGAAGATATGACATACTGAACTCTGAATTTTCAGCTGTCCAAAATACCGGAAACATACAAAAAAAAACCACCTTTTCCACATTAGATGTGTAAATTTTTCCCTCTTCAACTGGCTCGTGTCCCCGAATACGACTGAATGGAAAATGTTGATGAAGAAAAGACATAATGAACTCAGAATTTTCAGCCCTCCAAAATACTGGGAACCAACAAAAAAACCTCCTGTCTAGAATTAAGTAATATAAGAATTGTATTATATTTAAGGAAATAACTGGCAACAAGCTGTTTAACGAGATAACACCGTTAAAATATCATACANAAAGAACGGATTATTCAAAATGTACATTTCTAGAAGGCAAATTTCACATTAGTGAAAAAGAGTGGAATACAATAACTGTTGACGAGAAGTTGTCAAATAAATATTATCCATTTTTCTTTCGAAATAATATAACAAATTTCGTAAATAATAGTTGTTCAGTTGCATTCTACAGACTAAAATATTCAAAAAACAACATAATACTCCTAGCCTATTGCCAAAATAATTATAGAAAATGTAAAAACTTCAAATCTATATTCCACGTCTCGCGATTACTGTCATCCTTACAAAATAACCGACCAAGTGAGAGGTGTGGAAAGAGACAAAAAAATGTGTTGAAAAATATAAAACCTTTGGAATATAGAAAAAAAAAGCATTTTAAAAGCGAATTAATCTGATATCAAGTGAGGCCACTTACAAGATATAAAATCGGAGGAGATGCTAAGAAAACTCCGCAGCCAGGCAAAAAACGCTTTGAAACGACATGAAGACGCCATGGTCGACATGTTTTTGTACAAAAAAGATCACCCTACATTCATACGACAAGTTTGTTCGCCACTAAATGTGAAAATATTCAGTACTGAACAGTTAGAAGTTGCGAAAACTTATTCGGTTAAAGTTTTGCATTTTGATGCTACAGGCGCAGTTGTTTGTAATAAAGGAAAAGACGAAGAAGGAATTCTTTATTACGCTGGTGTTCTTACTTTACCCGAAAGAAGACTTTGCCTTGTAATGGAGATGATTTCGTGTGAACATGACACTCTAGCTATATTTGATTTATTTTATAACTTTAAAAAATTTTGCGAAGAACAGAAGTCGTGGCCTGTATTTAAAATTATCGTGAGTGACTTTAGTTTTGCAAGTTTAAACGCAGCATCTAAGGCATTTAA